CTTATCCACTAGGCGGGGTGGGCACAGTGAATTTTTCTATTCCATTTCTCTTCTATCTGCCGTCATGTCAACGCTTATTCTTCTCTCTCTCTCTCATATCATCATTCACACACTCCATCCGTGTCTTTTTCGGTCGACCACTTCTCCCTCTACCTTGTACTACCATTTCCATAAATCTCCTAGTCACACGAATCTCCTCTCTACGCATCAACCGTCCGCTCTTTAATTTATCAATCAATGGGGCTACTTTCACACTTCCTCTGATATACCGGGCTTGACTTGTATTGAAGAAAAACATTAAGAGACCATTCCAATAGGGATGTATTAACATCGAAATGTAGCGTGAACGCAATATCCCGAATAGAGTTTTTATTAGATAGCTTACAATCTCTAGTCTTCAAACTGGTTCGTATAGGTCGCGACAGTATTATATATGTCCATTAGCCAATTGAGTTTCTCGCCTGATCATGACAGTAGATTCCGATCCGGTGGTAGATTCAGCCAAGCACCGCCTCTGCTAGGGCTAGTGTTAGTAACTTCGCCAGGCAGACTTTGAGAAGCTAGTATAACCTTCGTGGTCACTAGTATAGGTAGGCGAAAACCCCCATCCATTTCTGATGACTAGAGGTCCCCCAGTAGTCGAAATTCGACTATAATTGGAATTGTAAGTTTGTACACTATTATGATTGTATTTTATACTTCTATAATCACAAATTTCGCCAAGGCTACACTATAAAAAAAAATTAATAAAGACAAACAATATTTAATCTATTCTCAATTTGACAACAGACGTCAAGAACAAAAGTTTGACAATAAATAGTATGCATGCGTGTGTGCGTCAAATACATGGTATGTAGTGTGTGTAATGTTTTCTTTATTGATTTAATGTATATTTTATGCCTTATTTAAAAAAATATTAGCATTATGCACTTCTTCTCTATATTCTCTATAAGTGTGGAAATTTTCATACTCCTCCGTCCGCGCAATTTTCATAAAAACGGATACAAAGTTTTTGCTTCATGTATTAATCTATAGATATAAAGTGCGGTAGCCACTTAAAGTCGTATGATTTGTAAATGCTACTTACTATACTACATGCTAAGAAGTCGAAAAACCTTAGACACTATTACCTCGATATCAGTTCAAAAATTATATCGTTTTCGAGTGTGGAAGCTCATTAAATGATTTGTGACAACAACGTGCGGGCGTGGATTGAGACGTGCGTGTAACGAAGCGTTAAATAGCCGTCGACGGACGAACGTGTGCGCACCGTTTTAGCGTCCCGACCGGTTCTTGTGGCTCGCACGTATGGAGAGCGAAAACGCTGATTTTTTTCCTTACCTATACCACCCTTAGGTTACCAGCGATAGCCTAAGGGCGGACGGGTAGGTGAGCTAAGGGACTCAAACCTGACGACGTTGCTAACACTAGCCCTAGCAAGAGCAGTGCATCGCAGAATCTACCACCGGATCGGAATCGCGACTCACTGAGAAGATCCGGCGAGAAACACAGTGAGATGTGTTTTTGTGTTCATTTACTCACCGAGCCTTTCGTCGGAAGTGACGGGTTCGACGAGAACGATGACCAACACGACTAGACGGTTAGAAAAATTGGTACCCGCCTGCGGGATTCGAACACCCGTATATCGCTAGATAAGTCAGATTATCTTCATCTCGTCATCTTCATTACGTCGACACTGTAGTAAACGTTATCGGGGTGAGAATCACTGAGTTTCAGTGACCAAATGAGTAGACAGATTTGTCTGTGTAAAACATCCTACTCGCAGTCTAGCCGCGAACATGGCGGTTGTGACAGTTCTAAATTATGACTTTAATTAAATAGAAAAAATATTTTTATGAAATAATTGTCTGGTGCCCCCGTGGCTTTTTCAGCTTATCCAAGATGAAGGAGGCGGGAATAGATCAGTAAGCCACCAGTAAACAAGCAAGCTTAAATATATCGCAGCGTTTCTGATGCTCATCATCTACAGAGGCCTTTAGGTTTACTAGGCGCCGTGTGTACCGAGCTAGTTAGATAGACTAATGGCTTTCCTTCGCAGCCGATCTAGACTGCTTACACAATTAAACTCCCGACGAATTACGAATAAACTTGTAAGGGGATAATTTCTGAAGTAGCCCGTAAATAAACTGTTACGGAATCAAGCTAATAATAAAATGTGCATTAAATATTAATAAAGTTAAAAAAAAAACTAACAAAATACGCTTTTATAAAAAATCCAACTAAAAAATAGAAAATAAATTTTAATAAATTTGAATTAAAAATACTGTAAGAAAAAATGATTTTATTGTAAAAATAGCGTGGGGTGCTTGGTATCAGTAGTTATAAATATTTTATGAACAGATATGAGTAGAAAGGTAGAAGGGTTATTTTGATAATATCTTGAAAAGCACCCAACTTATTATATTATATTACTAGCTGACCCGGCAGACTTCGTAGTGCCTCAATCGGTAAATAAAAGACCTAATCTTTTGTTTAAGATAAACTTAAAACAAACAAAAGGAATCCGTCCGACGGAGGACACATCAAAGGAAAAACAAAATTGTTATTTTTATTTAATTCCGAATATTTTTATATTTATCTAACCTTTTAAACCTTCTCTGGACTTCAACAAATAATTCAAGACCAAAATTAGCCAAATCGGTCAAGCCGTTTTCATGTTATGTCGTGACAACGGAAAACGGGTTTCATTTTTATATATATAGATATACCTTACCCTATACTTATTATACCAAATTTCGAGTTAATCCGACGTCTTGAAGGGGGTCAAAATAATGTTCAAAGATTCCGTTACATACATACTTAGTACGTCTGAAGCTAATAAAAGCGTATTAAAAGATGAAGTTGTATTTTTTTCCTGGTTATCGGAAGCAGTAAATCGTTATACGTATGTATATGACGCTGAACTCAGTATGATATTGTTATTTCGTCGCGCCTTGATACCTATTCGAGTAATAAACGCCATCTGTTTTCAAGTCAACATCAATTTTTCTAATGAATAAATAAATATAAATAAATAAATAAATATTTACTAACAATCACGCCACGTTAACTGGTCCCGTGATAAGTTCGTAAAGAACTTGTGTTACAGGTACCAGATAACGGAAATAAATGTAAGATTTTTATTATACACATACATATATTTAATAGACATCCATAACCCTGGAAAAGACATTTATATTTATCATACAAATATCCTCCCTTGGCGGGATTCGAACCCGCGACCCCCTTGTGTAGTGACCATGTCACTTACCACTACACCAGACGGCCGTTGAAATACTCACAGATCCTAGAAAGTTCTACCGTTTCTATGATCTGTGGAAATACTACTATGTATATAGGTCTATGTAAAATACGTACTTAACAAATGTTCACGATTGATTTCCACGAAGCAGTAATGCGTTTCGGTTTGAAGGGTGGGGCAGCCGCTGTAACTGTAGTACTTTTACGTTGTAGATATCTATGGGCTTCAGTGGCCACTTTACATCAGGTGGGCTGTGAGCTCGTCCACCCATCTAAGTAATAAAAAAAAATACAATTGGTTCTGAGGGCTTTAATTTTTATTATACGATATTTTTGCAACGTGTTATTTGTGCAAGTTATTATAAGCACGTGCATATTTCATTAGAAAAAAAATGCGTCTGCTGGCGAGATTCGAACACCGGCACAGTCGAATCACCCGATACTAATGCACCGGGCGTCTTATCGTTTAGGCCACAACGACTTCAAAAATTTTATCTCAATAATTTAATAGCTCTGGCATACAATACAAATCAATAATGTATGTTAGAAATTGTCGTATTAGTAGCTCAAAGCTCAACATAATTACATAAAATATCGTAAAAGCTCATACGGGCAGATCTTAACGACTTAAAAGCTGTAATTTCGTATTCATTACCTTGTTACATCAATTTGCGTTGAAAGCAGATGTAATGTACCTACGTATTTATACTCGCAAGGTGAGATGAGCTTCAGCCGGTCTTAAGTGGTAATCGTGGTCCATAGACATCACCTTGAATGACGTGGTAAAGCCAATTCTAATTTCAACGACTACCTTCAACTTCAAACGAGATTCCCGACTGCCGAAATAGGCCAAATCGTGGTACCAGCCCGAGAGGGACAACAATTCAACTTAACTTTTTTTATTTTTTATTTCTTAGATGTGTGGACGATCTCACAGCCCACCTGGTGTTAAGTGGTTACTGGAGCCCATAGACATCTATAACGTAAATGCGCCACACACCTTGAGATATAAGTTCTAAGGCCTCACTATAGTTACAACGGCTGCCCCACCCTTCAAACCGAAACGCATTACTGATTCACGGCAGAAATAGGCGGGGCGGTGGTACCTTATTTTGTTTTTTTCCTACCCAAGCTGAACCTTGAGAGGCTATGTCAGCGTAACTTAACAAGTAGGTGAGTGACGGAGCCCAAACCTGATAACGTTGCTAACACTAACCTTAGCAAGAGCAGTGTTTCGCAGAATCTACCATCGGATTGAAAACGCGACTCACTGAGAGGGCCTTCGAGGAACTCAGATACGGATTAAAGAAACAGTAGATTACCAAGGACAGTCGATGTGATCGAGTTATCTTATTCGTAAAATGGTATTCGTTTTTACGAACGCAGAAATTTACGTTTCAAGTATCGGATTTCAAATTCACGAACCCAAGCCCCGTTGAGTGTTGCAAGAGTCATCGAAATATTTAAGGCGGTGTTATACCGGGGTAGTTTTCGATTAACATCAACTTTGCCTAAGGCCTAAGACAATTTATTTATTAGCCAACCGGACTAGTCGTCCAGTCGATTAGTTGAAACTCTGAAGCAGTGCGTTAAGTCACGTAATGACCAACAAAAAGAAAAGTTTTAGAAATGTACTTTTCGTACCAAATTACTAATCAAAGTTTCCATAATAATTATCTGCTGACGCACCAAAAACCAAAAGGCTACGTATGTCTCAATATAACATTTGCAACAAAAAAAATGTGTGTGTGTGTGTGCAAGTCACACACGGTAGAAGTGAAACTTATAAAAAGTAAGAATATTCGCAAAGGTCAACCACAACCGCAGTGCAATGCAGCAGCCTCACCCTGGAAGACCCGCCTGCATGATCACGGTACCTCTACGCCAGGTAAGTATGATTTAGAAAGAGAAATACGAGAACGTCTATCAACTGTGTAACATCTCGTCACCGCGATTCAGGAATTGTTGAATGTACGTGCAGCGACGTCTGTTGATAACAAACTAAATAGAAATAAAAGTATCTCGGGGCGCTCCGAGAGCCACGACAGCGTTCACGGACGTCAAAAACACACTGAACTAGTCTAGAACTGAACTAGAAGTTTCGTTTCATTTCGTTTCATCAAGTTTGAAATTACAGCGATTCTAAAAAAGATTCACTTCAAAAATTGCGGTAATACTCAATATTTTTTTTTACCAAAAGTAAAGCCAGACGGGACATTAACTAGTTATATTTTTTTAATAATACAGGCGTACGACCCTTCTGTTTCCATGTAATTTCCTAACAAACATTATCGCTATCGTATGCCTCCGTTGTGTCCGCAACTTACTGAAATATGTCAAGTGGGTTTTAAGCCGTCACTTAAGACTTTCCGGTATTGATCCTCATTACACGTGCTTCCCTGAAAACGTTTCCGTTGTTATGGGAATCGAAGCCAAAACGATATCTAAAAAGTTAGAGTGCCACATTCTTTGCGATCCTTCTTAACAAAGTCCGCAAATTGTCTTATTTTTTGGGACTCTTCTTTCCAAATTCATCGAGTTTGCGAGGTGATCAGTTGGTTTCGCTAACGGCTCTCAGTATGCCTTCGATGGAGCCCTAAAAGCTGAAGCTTGGCTGCTTGACAAGTTCCTCTACTGGATCAAAATTGCGAGCCGTTGCGAAGATCCGACAAGGAACTCAACAAACTATGGGCTAAATGTGTAGGCCATATCTTAAACGAGTGCGCTGATGTAGATTCTGCCAGTGTAGTGTGTTGTAGTGCCTAACAATTAATGGCATCCAAAACCTTTTTTTTTTGGTCTTGAGGAAATCGTCGGACTTCCGCCCTCCACTGGGGAAATATGTATATAAGTTTCAGATGTGTTTTCGGTGTGCTGTTTTGCGGAGAATGTTCTGCTATGCATACGAAGACAGGAGTTGTGGCTTTTTTTTTGCTTAGATGGGTGGACGAGCTTACGGCCCACTTGATGGTGAGTGGTTACCGTCGCCCATAGACTTCAGCATTGCCAGGGGTAGAACCAAGCTGCTGCCAAAGAAGGCAAAATCGGATATGGTGCTAAGTGATTACCAGAGCCTATAGACATCTACAACGTAAATGCGCCACCCACCTTGAGATATAAGTTCTAAGGTCTCAAGTATAGTTACAACGGCTGCCCCACCTTTCAAACCGAAACGCATTACTGCTTCACGGCAGAAATTGGCGGGGTGGTGGTACCTACCCGTGCGGACTCACAAGACCACCAGTAAAAAGTCCTAGTCCTACTAATATTTTTAAAGCGAACGTTTGCTAAAAATGCATGTTGGTAATCCTTTCACGCGTGACGGATTTCGATAAAACCCCACAAACGAATACTTTATAACCAATATTGAGACCTGAAATTGTGATTGAAAGTTTTTTATTGCCCTTCTAGGCAGACGAGCATACGGCCCACTTGATGGTGAGTGGTTACCGTCGCCCATAGACTTCAGCAATGCCAGGGGTAGAACCAAGCTGCTGCCAAAGAAGGCAAAATCGGATATGCAGGCCGGGCATGAGGCCGAAGTTCCTCCGAAGTGTCTGCGCCTAGGAGGTATGCGGAGTATATGGGACTTGAGGTTCTGCAGATGTTGGGAACTGACCGCGGGCCCAAAGATAAAGCCGGATATACCTGCTCTAGGGCAGTACGTTCGCTTATACGTACGTATCAACGATCTACAAATAGGCCAGACCAGAGACAACCTACTCTTTACCCCGGGAAAGTGCAGGGTATGTAATTATTTCAAAATAAAAAAATAAATGAGTGTTAATCGACGGGGAACGTCTAGTTATATTAATTATTTGGAACCGCTGCGTTCATCGACAGTGCGTTTCCAGAGGTCTTTTTTGCCACGCACCATCCGGCTATGGAATGAGCTCCCCTCCACAATGTTTCCCGAGCGCTATGACATGTCATTCTTTAAAAGAGGCTTGTGGAAAGTATTAAGCGGTAGGCAGCGGCCGGGCTCTGCCCCTAGCATTGCTGAGGTCCACGGGCGACGGTAACCACTCACCATTAGGTGGGCCGTATGCTCGTCTGCCTATAAGGGCAATAAAAAAATTTATTAAATCAGTTAACAGCTATAGCGACGTGCCACATACGCCATCATGCATACGATTGGCTTAGTTTGACTGTGATGAAAAATAATTTAAAACTACTGGTGATTTTATTCATAGATTTTAGATTAGCATTTGTTATACGCATGGAGACTTCGAACTTAAGTCAACACGCGCGAGTACGTTGGTGGAAACCAATAAAACACACAGTTAATTTAGGCCAGTGATTCCCAAAGTGGGGGTCCCCGATAGTGGATCTCAACACATTCACTGATAGTACCTATTTACTTACATCATACTATCTTATAATATCAAGACATCATTAGCCGAGGATATTTAAGGTTAACCCTTACAAAATTGACGCCAAATTTTGATAATTTATTATTAAAGCATCAGGTTCATCCTTCTCACTAAAAATATTGACTTATTGCTTATGTTATTTTATTTATAGTTTATTTTATGTTACGTATATTTGACATAACAGATACAAAATTTTATTTTAAGTAGTTTTAATTTAAATTCAATTAATAAATGTATAAATTAACATGTGTTTTTACTTTAAGTTTTTAACACTAAACTTTACTACAGTTAGAAATTTACAGGAAATCAATATCAAGTAAGTAGGTCTACGACACAAAAAAGTTTGGGGAACTCTGATTTAGACGAATACTTCAAAAAATTATCTCCGATTCCTTGTACTATACTTTTACAAGCAATTTAATGTTTTAAACGCCTGCAGATAAGTCGCTTTTTTAAACATTCCCTTCGGAGGGTCCTAAATTACATAAGCGGATATACGTTGTTGAATGGTCTAGTTTTAAATTGATAAGTATTTGATTTCGATTGGGCATGGCATGTGACAATCTTGGTCGGCTATTTGAAAAGTATGCGTAAGTAGTAATGCGTTTCGGTTTGAAGGGTGGGGCAGCCGTTGTAACTATATTTGAGATCTTAGAACTTATATCTCAAGGTGGCTGGCGCATTTACGTTGTAGATGTCTATGGGCTCCGGTAACCACTCAACATCAGGTGGGCCGTGAGCTCGCCCACCCACCTAAGCAATAATCAATAAAAAAACGGATACGGATTGGCGAGTGTAGGTTAGTGGTACAATATCGAAATGGTTGCAGCCAGTTCATGGGTGAATCTCTTATCATCTTACAATCGGGGCAAGAAATGGGGTCATGCTATGATACAACAAACAGCTAAATCAGTACCACCCGATGAGCAGGTAGCTCTTCTGTAACACGCTATTTTACAACACGATTTCACTCTAACACGAAAAGAAAAATTCCCCAAAACCTTCTTATAGCACGATCGACGACATAATAACGAGATTTTTGTTAAAAATTATTTAGAAAATCACATTAAGCACTATGAACACGCAATATATTGTTACGCCGGCAAGAGTAACGTCGTCTAACGTCGAATAGTCGAACGAATATCGAAGGATCTAGTAGTATCTAGAACGCTCGAGAATTACAACGCCATCTATTGACAGATAGCGGAAACTACTACTAGAGATGTGTGGAATATTCTCGATAATTTTAAGGATGAGGTATCGGCTAAAAAGCGTTGGAGAGATGGCGCGCAGTCAGTTAGTAATCGGAACTACTCGAAGCGAAACAACGAACGGAACACCTGAAGCGAAGCGGAAGAAGCGAATTGAGAATTTTAAAGTGTTCTAAATACAATTTTAAGTTGTACTTTGGTGGAACATTTATTTATCTCGACCCCAGCGCGTAAGAATATTATAGAAATAACCGAAATTTCACTGATTCTTTTTTGTGTATTATATAATAGGTAAAAAATATATCTATATACAGGCATAGTTGAGATGTTTCATTCAGAAAATCACTCTCCTTTTTCTACTGGCTTCTAGTCTCATATACCACGGTTTACCATAACACGGGACTTTATATGGCATGTATCTACCGTATTATAGGAGATTTACTTGTATTCATTGAGGCAGACTATTAATGTACGATCCTCCAACAACAAAAAAAACTATCCGATTGAATAGAGAAAAATAATTGGAAACAAAAATCCCAGAGCCTTTGAAAGACTTATTTGTTTTCAATTATCAAAACGAAATGTCCCAATATAATATTTGGAGCACGAGCTACATGAGTCTTTGACCTCCTGATGTCCCCCGATTCTGAGATATAATTATAATTACTTATATACACGGGAAAGTATCTAAATGAGGACAGGTAAGAACGAACGCCATTTTGATTTGTTCCGTTTTGTACTTGTAGTATTGCAGCGTTTTGATCATGATTGCAGCGTTATTACCTTTTTCGTGGACGTACCGAGAAGTAGGAGGCTTCGACCTTCAAGAACCATTCTCGTTGGACCCATCATTCTTCCTTTTAACTCTATTCCCAATATAAATTTCTTTTTTCTCAATTGTACCGTTGGGTTGGTCGCCAAGATCCTCATACTCACTTACTCATACTTTACCCGGTTAGCTGCTGCTGGATAGCCGTCATCCAATATGTTCAGCTAAGTTAATAAATAATAAATAGAGTGTGTCCTGGTGTTAAGTGATTACCGAAGTCCATATACATCGACCAAGTAGCCGCTATCACCCTCCTTGAGACATGTATTTTAAGTCTCAGTTTTACAGTACAGCGGCTGTGTACAACAGCTTAAAGCCGGTAGGATGGTGGTACATCTCGTGCGGGCTCACAATACGCCTGTGAAACATCTGTGAAAGTAAGTAAATTATTAAAAACTAAGTTGGTAAACTTTAGATAACTTTGAATAAGCCCGTTGATCATATAATTATTAATGTCATTTGAGCAATCTCTTCCGTGGTTTG